ATTGTAGTTGATAGCGACTTACTTGACGCCCTTAGCACCCGTAAGCGCTACACCGACATGATCACACTACACGACCAATTGGTGTACTTGCACAAAGGACCCATACCACCCCAAATACTGATAAACTGTGTGTTCCCAAAGCCACGGCTCATGACCACAATAGTACACACCCTCCTCATAGACTCTGAACACCCACATAACGAGTATATCCGCCACAGGTCTTCGGACACAAGGCATTGTAATATTATATATATCACTAGCGTGTAAACAAATAAAGATACCTAAACCCTAAACCCTAAAACCCTAAAATCTTGAAACAAATTTCTGGGCCAGATTTTTGAAGCCAGTATTTGAGCCACCGTTTGTGGGTCTAGGAATTTGAAAATATTTTTTGAAACAGTTTTTGAAGTCAGCTCCCGGGGCTCAGAATTTGAATTTTTTTTTTTGAGCCAAGATTTCAAGACTGTGTGTGTGTGTGTGTGTGTGTGTGTGTGTGTGTGTGATGTTTCCAAAAAAAAAAAAAGGGCACAAAAGTCCCGAGAGGCTGAGACTGTAAATGTTCTCAAAAATTAACCGAGAAGGATCGAAACAGCAAATACTAAAACATACTTGTAAATGAAGTAGGCGGAATATTTGTATACTTTCAACAAACCTAAATGCCCCTACAAAACCATGAAGGAACAGCAAGTACATAAAGCAGCTCGGACGAGGGATGTTACTACGCTTAGCAATATATTGCAGATCGATGAATCACAAATTGGTACTTTAGACGAGGTATGTTCATATATGCCAGCACATGTGTGGGGCGAGCGCGTCTACGTACAGTACGTGTGCGCCTACATCTATAGCGCCAAGGTTGCTAACAATTGATGGTTTCGTTGCAACAGAATGGTGGGACTCCGCTGCACATAGCATCGGAGAATGGACACAAGGACGTGGTTGAGCTGTTGCTGGCCAAGGGTGCGGATACCCATGTCAAAGACGAGGTAAGTGGATCCTAATGTATATGTACCGGTGTGTGGGTGTGTGCGTCTACGTGCTGTACGTGTGCGTCAACGCATATATTGCTAAGGGTGCTAACAATTGATGGATTCGTTGCAACAGACTGGTTCGACGCCGCTGTATTTGGCATCGAAGAATGGACACAAGGACGTGGTTGAGCTGTTGCTGGCCAAGGGTGCGGATATCCATGTCAAAGACAACGTAAGTGGATGCTGATGTATATGTACCAGTGTGTGGGTGAGTGCGTCTACGTGCTGTACGTGTGCGTCAACGCATATAATGCTAAGGGTGCTAACAATTGATGGATTTGTTGCAACAGTTAGCTTGGTCACCGCTGCGCATGGCATCGAAGAATGGACACAAGGACGTGGTTGAGCTGTTGCTGGCCAAGGGTGCGGATATCGATGTCAAAAACAACGTAGGTGGATGCTAATGTATATGTACCAGTGTGTGGGTGAGTGCGTCTACGTGCTGTACGTGTGCGTCAATGCATATAACGCTAAGGGTGCTAACAATTGATGGATTCGTTGCAACAGGGTGGTTTGTTTTCGCCGTTGACGCCGCTGCAAGAGGCATCGCAGTATGGACACAAGGACGTGGTAGAGCTGTTGCTGGCCAAGGGTGCGGATATCCATGTCAAAGACAACGTAAGTGGATGCTGATGTATATGTACCAGTGTGTGGGTGAATGCATCTACGTGCTGTACGTGTGCGTCAACGCATATAACGCTAAGGGTGCTAACAATTGATGGTTTCGTTGCAACAGTTAGCTTGGACACCGCTGCGCATGGCATCGAAGAATGGTCACAAGGACGTGGTTGAGCTGTTGCTGGCTAAGGGTGCGGATATCGATGTCAAAAACAACGTAAGTGGATACTAAAGTATATGTACCAGTGTGTGGGTGAGTGCGTCTACGTGCTGTACGTGTGCGTCAATGCATATAACGCTAAGGGTGCTAACAATTGATGGATTCGTTGGAACAGGGTTTGTTTCCACCGTTGACGCCGCTGCAAGAGGCATCGCAGTATGGACACAAGGACGTGGTTGAGCTGTTGCTGGCCAAGGGTGCGGATATCCATGTCAAAGACAACGTAAGTGGATGCTGATGTATATGTACCAGTGTGTGGGTGAGTGCGTCTACGTGCTGTACGTGTGCGTCAACGCATATAATGCTAAGGGTGCTAACAATTGATGAATTTTTTGCAACAGTTAGCTTGGTCACCGCTGCGCATGGCATCGAAGAATGGACACAAGGACGTGGTTGAGCTGTTGCTGGCCAAGGGTGCGGATATCGATGTCAAAAACAACGTAGGTGGATGCTAATGTATATGTACCAGTGTGTGGGTGAGTGCGTCTACGTGCTGTGCGTGTGCGTCAATGCATATGACGCTAAGGGTACTAACAATTGATGGATTCGTTGCAACAGGGTGGTTTGTTTTCGCCGTTGACGCCGCTGCAAGAGGCATCGCAGTATGGACACAAGGACGTGGTTGAGCTGTTGCTGGCCAAGGGTGCGGATATCCATGTCAAAGACAACGTAAGTGGATGCTGATGTATATGTACCAGTGTGTGGGTGAATGCGTCTACGTGCTGTGCGTGTGCGTCAACGCATATAACGCTAAGGGTGCTAACAATTGATGGTTTCGTTGCAACAGAATGGTATGACGCCGCTGCACGGGGCATCGCAGAATGGACACAAGGACGTGGTTGAGCTGTTGCTGGCCAAGGGTGCGGATATACATGTCAAAGACAACGTAAGTGGATCCAGATGTATATGTACTAGTGTGTGGGTGAGTGCGTCTACGTGCTGTACGTGTGTGTCAATGCAAATAGCGCTAAGGGTGCTAACAATTGGTGTTTTGTTGGGCTCTCGCAAGAAGGAAGACGTTGCATGCGGACTAGTTTGTGAAAATGTGGATTCGCCGATTGATGCGTGAGATTTTAATTCTTGTTGGTTGATTACAGTCCGGATCTACACCCCTCGAACCTGAAGTAGTGGGCGAGATGCTACAAGAGTTTGGCACCCTGAAGGGCCAAGTATGTTTGTTGCAGGTGTCGTTAGAAACGTCAGAGGCAAATGAGGCGAGCCTCACGGAACAAGTGCACACCTTGAAATTGCAACTGGAGGAGTCGGAGGCAAATGTTCAAGTTTTTCAGGATCGTTTTGACTCTGTAAGTGATGTCGGTTCGTGATTTCACTGGCTTTCTTGACTCGCTTCCATTTTGTGATATAAAAGTAACGCGTGCACAATCTCCCACAGTCGCATTCCAAAGATGAGGGGGAGGAAGTCATCGTTCGAATCGATCCTGATACTTGCACACGTGTCTCGGTAGCCTACATCAACCACCTAACCGATCATTTCAGCGACCATCGGGTGGTGGGCAGGGGGGCGTTCGGGACAGCTTACCGTGGCATCGACTTGGTGACCAACCTTACGTATGTGCAAGAACAATACCAAATTCTCGCAAGTTTCTGTGCACGCTGATATAAATGTAAATGTTTCGCACGAAATAACGCTGGTCACGCACCACCTTTTCAGGTTGATCGTTAAGGCACTGCAGAGCGAGACCGACTTTGAATCGAACCGCACCAGCGTGGAGCACGAGGTCGAGCTGCTAGAAAGAATCCGACACCCCAATATCATCCGACTAGTAGGCTGGTCACTCAGCCTAGAAACACGGGCGGCGTACCTGGTGTACGAGCACGGTGAGCACGGCAGTCTGGCCGATAACCTGGTGGACGACACCAAAGCGAGACTCCTTGTCCCGCCCGTGCGAATGCGCATTGCGGCCGGCATCGCCAAGGCGCTCGCGTTCATGCACAATCCGAAGCAGGGGGGTGGGCAAGTGTTCCATCGCGACGTCAAATCCGCCAACGTCGTCCTGACCGCCACTCTCGAACCCAAACTGATCGACTGTGGGCTGGCCTTTATGGTACCAGACGCCCCACAGGCTCTCAAGCACCCCACGTTCACGGTAACCACGCAAGCGCGGCAGCGTGGGTTCGGTACACCGGCCTACTCGTGTCCAAGATACTTGATGAATAACAGTCGCTACGGTGAGCGAAACGAAATTTATTCGTTAGGGCTGGTTCTCTCAGAGTTGTTTAGTGGTCGTGTGTTGGAGTCCATGAGCGATGAGGAGGACGTTGACGATTTCCGTATTGACGCCGAAAGTAGTGGTCTGCACATCGATGCACGATGCGAGAGCGACAATGCCGCAGCAAAGAGCGCGCTCGAAAACCTGAGGGGTGTGGCGCAACGGTGTCTAGGCAAATCCAAACACCGACCATCATCAAGGGTCGCCATGATGGAGCTTGTTGCGCTTGACCGCCAACAACAAGCCAGCATGACGCCCCAAGATGCGCAACGACAGACGGAGCACGGATGGCGGCTGCGCCTTGAGGTGGAGACTCAGCAGCGGCTGCGGCTGGAGAACCAACTGCGGGCTGAAACGGCTGCGTTGAGAGCGTTGCGTGACGAGGCGATTCGGCGCGAACGAGATATTGAAGTTCGCACAGCCGAGTGTCTAGTGTGTTACGAGGAAATTGTCATTGGTTCGCACACAGACAGCGACAGCAGCACCGACAAATTTACGGCGGTCGGATATCTGGAATGCCGTGACGGGCACACTCTCTGTCGTAGCTGTGCCCAGGCACACATACGCGAGTGCTGTAATGTAAACTACAACGGGCCGGGGCGTGTCAGGGATACACACGAGCTGCTGTGCCCCAACCACCCGGGCGAGTGCCTGGCTGTTCCCTACACGAATGCGCAACTCGCAGCGGTGTTGGGGGCTGCAGCCTACGAGACGTACTTGCGCAGCATCATGATTGTGCGTGAACAGGAACTTGAACAGCAGTTCCGGAACGACCTCGAACGCACGCTGGCAGAACGCCAGCAAGAGTCGGACATTGACAGGCACGTACGCGTGATTTGCGATGAGATGCTGACCTTACGGTGTCCCAATAGCCTGTGTCGGAGAGCACTGATTGACTTTGACGGGTGCACCGCTTTGACATGCGATCTGTGCGATCGAGCCTTCTGTGGCCTTTGCTTGGAGGACTGTGGTCGCGACGCACATGTGCATGTGGCCCACTGCCAATGGAACCCCAATGAAGACGGTGATGTTTTTGTTGAAGAGAAAAGTGTAGCAGCGATTCAAGACCGTGTTAAAGGTGCAAAGATAGCGGACTATCTGAACAATGTACAATCTCAAGCGGTGAGAATTGGGGTGGAGGAGAGACTGACAGCCGAGTTAAAAGAGTTGGGTGTTGAGTTGCCGTGATTAGTGCTGCATGCAAGTCTACAAGAATAAGTGCTACATACATACATATGTACATATATATAAACATGTATGCACACACATATATATATATATATATACATTTATACATATATACACTCGTTGTACCGTGCACGGTTGATCAAGAGGCCAAGTATTGGCAATGCCGGACCCGACGCGACTTCCAAAAAAAGACATGTAGAGACAGCGCGTGTAGGCACCATTGCACTACACACGACACTTGCTTGTTTGGGTATAAGTTTATACACACACACACACA